AAGGAAAGAGGGTGATGCAGGCTAAAGGATGGCCTGAACAGGGAAAGATTGATGGTACACTGCACAGGGGCCTTCGCTGTAGACTATATAATCCATCTCTGATTAGTTAAAGTATAAACAATATATTGTAGAGCCTCCATAGTTCACAAACATCAGGAAGAGCTGAAAGAATACATGTAAGTCAAATATTAAACTCCTCCAAATAAGTGTTTCATGTCCTGCTCCACCCTCCCTGCTGTGCCCCCCACACACACACACCGGGAGAGAGAGAAAGGGAGGGAGGGAGGGAGGGAGGGAGGGAGGGAGGGAAAGAGAGAGAATTTAACTGTGAATCAGTCCTGTCTGAGTTCAGTTGGTTGCCAGAATGTCTAAGAAGTGTAGTTTATGTTCTCAGTCTCTCAGTCTCTGAAACACAAGAAGGTACAAGGTATGTGATGTTGGAAGAGAGGGTAAATTTAATTCACCAACACTGGTTGATAGAGGAAGGTCATTGGTTAAAAAATAAAGAAACTACTTGGGCCTCATAGGTTAGAACATAGATGGGTGGAGTAAACAGAACAGAATGCTGGGAGGAAGAGGAAGTGAGTTCAGAGGCCATGCTCCTCTCTCCCGGGCAGATGCAATGCAGCTCCGACCCAGGATGGACATAGGCTAGAATCTTCCCGGTAAGCGCACCTTGGGGTGCTACACACATTATTAGAAATGGGCTAGTCCAGGTGCGAGAGTTAGCTGAGAAGAGGCTAGATATAATGGGCCAAGCAGTGTTTAAATGAATACAGTTTGTGTGTTGTTATTTCTGGTGTAAAGCTAGCCGTGCGGGAGCCGAGTGGGATGAAAAGCAGGCCCGCATCTCCCTCAACAACTGGTGACCTTTGTGTATGTCTCTGTATGTGGGGAGGCCAGAGAACAACTTTGGATGTCATTCCTAAGATGCTGTCTAGCATGCTTGTTTGTTTAGAAAAGTTCTCTTGCTAGCCTGGGATTTGCCAAGAAGCTAGGCTGGTAGGCCAGCAAACCCCAGGGGTCCTCCTTTACCCACCCCCCAGTGCATGGACTACCCAAGCATGTACCACTATGCCCAGCTTTTTAAAATTTGGGCTCTGAGGATGAACCCCAGTCATCATATTTGCAAGGCAAGCACGTTACCAACTATGCTATTTCTCTAGTCTCCTGCAGCTTTTGCTAGGTACTTAACTAGTCTTCTCCATTTTATTCTTGAGTTTAATGCAGGAAGCACACAAGAAAACTGCCTTCCCTCTGACTCCCACCATCCCTGAGACTCTAGGAAAACAGGGCACTCTTCCTCATTGACTTTTAATCACCATAACACATGCAGGGCTTAGCATAAGGTAGATACTCAGCAAATGTTAAGATGTATAAGTGGATGAATGAATGGAAGTGGATGGATATGGATGGTTGAATAGATGGATATGCATGGATGGGCATTTATGGGTAGGTGGGCGGGTGGATAGTCAGATATGGATGCATGGATGTAAGGATGAATGTATGGATGGATGGATGGATGGATGGATGGATGTTCGAGCACACTATAAAGTTTTACTCTGCTGAATCTATAATCCAGTCTGTCCTAGAGAGTAGCAGTGCCCACTATCTATACATAGAGCTACTTAGCCTTTGAGATGTAACTAGCACAACTGAAGAGATAAATTTTCATTTTACCTTGTTTCCGTAAATTTAAATTTAAGAAAAATTTCTAATTCTATTTTGTAAGAATTTTTTTAAAACTTGCAGTCTATTTGTTGTATTATGTGAGTGTACTTTGTTCAGCTATAAATTTTATGAGAGCTAAATACATCTCCAATATTTCAAATGACTAGTTAACAAACACTGGCTGTTTTCTGTCACTATGCCAAAATTCTTGAGAAGGAAGGAAGGAAGGAAGGAAGGAAGGAAGGAAGGAAGGCTGGCTCACAGTTTCAAATGTCCTAGCCATGGCCAATGAGCCTGGTGAGGTGGCTTTGGCAGCAACACAGAGCGTCATGGCGGGAGCAGGTGGGAGGGCACCTCATGGTGACTGGAAAGCAAAGAGAGTGGCAAGGAAGAAGATGATAAATCTTATCATGAGTCCTCTCCAAACACTTAACTCCCGAAAGTAGGCTCCATCTCCCCAAGGCTCCATTACCTCCCTCTCAGCAGCACAAGACACACTGGGGACGAAGCCGGTAATATGTGGGCTCTGCAGAGACATCGCGGATAGAAACTACAGTGGTATACAGGTAGAATGTGCTGTAACTGCGGAATGCATCCCAGGTGCCAGGCATTTAAAATGAAAAATAATTTGAAATGTGCCCATGGGCCGGTGAGAGTCGGCTCAGTAGACGGAGAGAGGTTCTTCTCTCCAAAGCACAGAGACCTGAGCACAGGGCCTGGAGCTCACATAAAGGTCGGCAAAAAGAGTCTCACAAGGCTGCCTTCTGGGCTTCACATATGTGTGTGCCCATCACACACAAAAAGCACACAGCAGCAATGACAATAAATTAGGGCCAGCGAGGAGGCGAAGTAAATAGAGAGCTCGCTGCATAAGGCTGATGGCCTGAGTTCAAGCCCCAGAACCCTCCACAAAAGGCGAGAACCAAGTCCCAAAAGTTGTTCATTTATCCCACACACACCTGCTTGCTCGCTCTCGCTCTCTCTCTCTCTCTCTCTCTCTCTCTCTCTCTCTCGTACACACACATGCGCGCACGCACACACACACACACACAAATTAATTAATTAAAATAGTAAACTTTGAAAGAATTTAAATACACCATTAATTTTTTGAACGGTTGTATGTGGAAATGATAACCTGGATTTATTAGATTTAACAGAATATATTATCCAAATTGATGTCACGTGCCTCTTTTTACATTAAAATTTTTATTACATTTATTTCCAGGGGAAGGGAGTCTCACTTGTCTCACAGTGTGTGTATGGAGGACAGGAGACACCCTGCAGGAATCTGTCCCATCCTTCCTCCAGGTGAGTCCTAGGTATGAGCTCAGGTTGTCAGGCTTGGGCAGCAAGTGCCTCTGAGCCATCTCAGTTTCCCTCTTTTTACAGTTTTGAAGCGACTCTTAGGAAATGTGAATGCGTGCATGTGGCTCTCGCTGTATTTCAACTGGATAACAAATATCTGGACCTCAGTGCTATCACCCGCGCTCTGAGTAAGTACTGTGACAGTCTTACCTGTGAGCCCTGGAGGCGCCGACTCCACCCCACCCTGTGATCCCCCCTGTCTACCCCCAGACCTTTGCCCATGGGAGCAAGACAAGACAAGGCCTCTGTGACACTCAGGAGAGCAGTCATGAATTTGTTTCTCGGAACCAGACAGGTGACCTATCAAGGGAAGGGTTGGAAGAGAAGCCTCATGTGGCCACCAAGCATTTCTAGTAAAGTCGATGCACAAGAGGGAAATAGCTCCCTGCCACAGGGTCACTGCGTGACATCTTGGTCCAGACTGTGGACTCAAAGGTCCTTGGTAGGCCTCTTCTACTCTTGCTTGGCTCTGAGGGTGGAAAGGCCCCGTTCTGGTCATCCCAAAAGTTAGCCTTAGGTCTTCTGGCACCCACTACCATTCCCCCTCTCTTGACTTTAGTTACTAGAAATATATACTAGTCAGGTGGGAACAATGTAGCCTGCATCTGTCCTGGGACGTCCAAGCATCCTTTTGTCTGCCCTGGAAACTCATTCTGAGAAGCTGGTCTAGGCAGCCTGTGGACTAATCTTGGTTGTCAGCTTGCCTGGATCTGGAATCAGCTCAAATGCAAGCTGTTGTGCATTCCTGTGAGGTAAGGTTAGCTTTGATTTTCTTATTTGGAGTGGGAAAGATCCACCCTACGTGTGGGGGCCTGAGGAGTACCTTCCGGTGACAGATAAAAGGAAAGACCGAGAGAAAAAGCTTGGCCTTTTGCCTGTTTGCCTTCACTCTGGCTGGCAAGTTTCTCAACCCCATGGCAGTGGCAGTGGCAACTCTTTACTGCTATCAAACCCCAGTTCCCTGTTCCTCCCTTTAGGCTTCCAATGCTGGACAGAAGACTTAGTGATTCTCCAGGAATCCTCTAGACCTTTGGCAAAAACTGGGATTGCTAAGGAACCCAGCCATACGGACTAAACAGCTGCCAGGTTCTCAGTCTCTTTGGTGTGAAGACAGCCATGTTGGACTTTTCAGCTCATATCCTATAAGTCGATCTAATAAGCACCATTTTAAAGTATATATGTGATATATATATAAGCATATATATCAATATATCATATATATATATCATATATATATATATATATATATATATATATATATATCATCACTCCTGTCCCTCTAGCAAACCTTAGCACACGCCAGAAAGCTTCTCTCCCGTGATGGGAATCAGAACTCCCACAATCCCCCTCTCCTGTAACCCCTGTGGCTTCTGTTTGCTATATAAAATCAATTGTTCCAGAAAGGACTCCAAGGATGCCTTTGATTGGCCTGCAGAGAAGAAGCTGCGGGGGATGGAGGGGGAAATGCCCTTTGCTGGCCAATTCTGAGCCAAGGCACTGACTCAGACAGATCAGCAGTGGCGTGGAGAGAAGGGAGAAGAAGGGCAGAAGGTGACAAGTGAGGCTTAAAGAACAGGGAGGGACCGGAAGGGCCCAAATCCTAAGGTTTGCTCCAAGAAGGAGAACTGAGCTGCCTGGTACTGGTCTGCTTTCGTCCCAGAAGTGCACTGCAGAACACTCATCCGTACACTGTTACCATCCAAGGTCACTGAAGCCTGGAGAGACAGCTCAGGGGTCAGGACCAGAGTTCAGTTCTCAGCTCCCTGGCCAGATGGCTCACAACCTCCAGCTCCGGGGGAGCCAATGGCTTCTTCTGCTCCCGCTGACACCTGCATTCACACATACACATATCTACACAGAGTATAATGGAAATTTTAAAATTGTATTAAAAAGTCATACCTATGTGCAAAGTTATCAGTCTTGGCAAAACTTAGTTAAGAAGAAAGGCATTTTTATGTCTTACTAATATTGCTCACCATTAAAAAGTACCAAAATTTTACTTAAATGTGGAAGTGAACTGTTGGGGCTTTCCAGAGAGATCATCAGTCTTTGGACAAATTAACATAACTATTGGGAAGCAAGAGTATTAATATCCAGAACTATTGACTGGGAGTGGCCTTTAATCTCCAGTCTTTACTTGCTGGCCTTAAAGGAGACTTTGATCTGGAGGGAAATCTGTGCTCATTCACTCCCCGAATAGTTGAGGCTCTTTCAGTAGTTCTGAGGTAGTGATGGGGGATTTGTTTTAATAATAATAATAAAAAAAAAGCACACAACGATGGGGGGGGGGCTCCATAACTAGAGAGAGACGAAGCAGTGTGAAGCCCTGAGCCACAGAAGGACAGGACCCTGAAAGGGGGCAACTGTAGGAAAAGGAGCCAGAGGCTTAACACGCTCAGCTGGAGGTGGAAAGACCTGGGCTGTGAAAGAATGTGCACCCTGAATGCTTCTCAGCTTCTTGTGTGCGTGCGTGTGCGTGCATGCGTGCGTGTGTGTGTGTGTGTGTGTGTGTGGTGAGAGAGACAGTGGCAGAGAACGACCTTCATGGGAAGACATGAAGGGACAGGAGCGTGAGGCCAGTAGGTACGACTGCCCTTCTCTAGATCTGCCCTTGAACCCGCTGCCAACCTCCTCACGCCCCGCCCCTCAGGTGAGCTCCTCAAGGCGGCCCAACACACTCACTCTTGGTTCTCTGTGCACCTACCCTATTCTCCAAGCCCCACCCAAAGGCCTCTCCCATGATCCTCTCTGGAGACTACTCTTTGCTCCGGCCCACCTCAGCGTCCTCCCTTCTCAACTCAAAGCTAAGCACAGCTCCACATCCACTGCATTCCCTAACCATAGGAAGGCACTTCTAGAATGTTGCGCTCAGCTGACGGTAAATGCACATCAATTCGGCAGAACAGACTCCAGAACAAGATCAAAGAAGCCGACATTCCCCCATGATTCCTGCTTGGTGCTGAGACTCAGTGCTCCGTGAATACTTGTGGACTGAGCAGTCTCCATCTCAGTGTGCTTGCAGGGCCACCTGGCCGTCCACGAGAAAATAAAGCAGCATTTTGGAAGCTGACTGGGCTGTGGCCATCTCCCAGACTCCTGCGCCCTCTACTGACCAGGAGGGAACCTGCACTCAAGACAAAGTTGGCCAACAGGATAGAGAGTGGTCCTGATGCAGGACTGATGGCAAGGCAGTCTAGCCTCGCTGGAGGTTCCAGCTCGGTCCACCCGGGTCTGTGCCAATGACCCTGAACTCACAGGCATGACCAGGCCTGCTGCAGTACCCCACGAGGCCCCGCAGGCCATGCTTAGAGTTTCTCATCCAGCTGCAGGCCACGGTTCTCCCAGGTGCCTCCGTGCATTGTGGCAGGGCTGCCCCGGGGGGTTCGGTTCAGGTAGTTCTGGATGGCAGAGGCGCAGTCCAAGCGTTCCATGGCGGTCATGAGGTAGTGAAGCTCCTGCAGGCTTCCATTCTGTTCCTCAAACAGCTCCAGGATGGCTGCGGCGGGACTGCGTTGGCAGGACAAGAACCTGACAGGGAATAGTGAGAAGAAAGCGGGGAAATGAAGGAGCAGTATGAGGCCCACCCTGCACTGCTCGCTCCCCTGGGTTCTACTCCTCTTGTGTCTCAGGTTCCTCTTACTAAGCTGAAATTCTGCGTGAGACAGCATCTGAGATTGCCAACCTGTTGGCATTGTGACATTGTCCTAGTTAGCTTGCTGTTAACTGGACACAAACTACAGTCATCTGGAAGAGGAAACTCCAACTGAGAAAATGCCCCCATCACGTTGCTCGTAGGCAAATCTTTGGGGGCATTTACCTGATTAATGATTGATATGAGATGGTGATTGATATGAGATAGATGGCTCACTATGGGTGATGCTACCCCCAGACAGATGGTTCTGGATGGTACAATAAAGCAGGCTTTGGAAACCCATGGGGAGCAAGGCAGTGAGGAACATCCCTCCATGCCTTCTGCATCAGTTCCTGCCCCCAGGTTCCTGTCTTCAGTTCCTGCCTTGACTTCCCTTCATGATGGAATGTCATGAATAAGCAAATAAACCCTTTCCTTCCCAAGATGATCTTGGCCATGGTGTTTTATCACAGCAATAGAAAAGTCAAACTGAGACAGGTATTATCTACAAATTTCACACTTGGGAATCATGCATGTTAAAAAAAACAAGATGGAAAAATTTACACTTTAAGTGCACATAGGACTTTGTGTTTGTCTCATGCATAGTTTCCTGTGATGGCCCGTCATTGTTTGGGAACCTTCTAGAATCTCTCTTACAATCTCTAACTCCTGACAGCCTCACTCCTCCACCACCCAGCAATGCCCTGCTTCTCCGACCTGTCCTTGCCCCCTTCCATCCTAAGCCTCCTGTCTCCTGGCCCATGCCTATGCCACTTTGCATAGCCTGGTCCCCTGCACCTCAGCTGCTCCTCACAGCTAGAGTGACTGACTCTCCATGGTCCCCTCTCTGACATCTTTTCTGACTCTCCATTCTGCAGCCCTCTGGCCAGACCCAGCTATTCCTGCCTCAACTGTGTGTGTGTGTGTGTCTTCAGTGTTCCGCAATAGTGATCACACACAGAGGGCACAAGGGAAGCTTGCTGTTGTTCTCCGGTTCTCAAGGCCCTTGCTGTAGATCATTTGTGCTCCTAGGAGGTGAAAACATATTTCACACTGTGTCTCAAAGCTTGGTGGCCCATAGACAGGCACCCAACAACTGCCTCAATCTGTTCTGCCTCCAGGGTCTAGCTCTAGCTCGCCCATCCCTGACCTCTGCCTTCAAGCCTGGGCTCTGGGACCTGCATAGAATTGTTCTTCTACCCATCCCTTTGTGAGCTTCTTGGCAGGGGCCCCAGCCGCATCGCCACTGTGCCTGCTAACACTGCCTGTGTTAACAAGAGGCAGGCTTCCAGCTCTGTGTTGTACACACATCATCCTGTAATCTGCTTTTCCATGCCTTGGGCCACAGTGTGGCGAGCGCTCACTAGCATCAGTGACTTGTATCATTTCTTGTGAAATATTTATTGCACACCTACCATGAGACAGACGTCATATAACTAACTGACCTCGGGCTGAATGGATGGGTTTGGCATCCTGGGGAGAGAGTGAGGTATTCTAAATTCTACTGAGGCACTGGTGCCCTTCTCTTCAACTGTAAAACTATGGCTACTTTTTTTTCCCCACTTACAAAATCCATACAGCAGACACACAGGAGTGTGAACTTGAGGCTGACTTCCACAGAGAACATATAAAAGGCTTCCACTCTATGCCTACCCAAGGAATGAACTGGAACAATGGCTTGGCCAAGCTTAGACACACAGATGGGGCAGGGACTCTCACACCAGCATCCCAGTAACCCCTGAGGCTCTCTTACAAAAACTGGCATCTTAATGCCTGCTCCCATTTTCTTCAGTCCTGAACTTTTACAATAACTAGAACAAAGCTATCTCCGGTATAGAGGACTGAGATAATGGGGACAAGTCACCCCCTTAGTCCCTGAGAGAGGAGGGCTGTCCCAGAACCAGGTCTACTTGTCTTCTGGCCTTTGCCTCCTGACTAAATTGTAAGACAGTTGTAAGCAATTAGAGTCTTTTTTTCCCCAATTTGGAACTAAATCTATTTTTATCAATTGCTGTTTCCCAATTTCTTGGGAAGCATAGGGAAAGCAGGTGACTGGTTTACAGACCTGAGTGGCTGATAACAGTTACTCTGAAGTCTGAGGATATAGAATCGGCAGACACAGTTGTCCTTCCAAAGGGACTCGGGTGGGAAGATTCACTAACTTTCAAGTCACCTCCTTGTCTGTGGTCCAGTTCCCAGAATGTCCTGAAGTCGCCCCAGCCTAGCCCCACTTTGACCTCCCTGGTCGCTCACCGGATTTTCATGCCACAGAGTCCCATGTGGGAGGCCAGTCTACGCCAGTCATTCCCAGTGACACTGCTGGGCTCCAACAGCATCTGCAGCTGCTCAAAGAGCTCCGGGGGCAGCCTGCAGCAGGGAACAGGGTGTTTGCGAAAGAAAGGCTCAGAGACCAAAGGCTGGGCAGACAGTTCAATCTGCTGCCACACAATCACAAGGTCTTGAGTCCAACAACCAGCACCCACATAAAAAGTCTGGTGGCATGTACTCGTGACCTGAGCATGGGAGAGAGGGAGACAGGCAGATCCCTGGGGCTTGGTGGCCAAGAGCTCCAAGTCCCAGAGAGAGACATTATCTCAAAAACAAGATTATGAATTCTGGGGAATAACACCTAAGGTTCACCACTGGCTTCCTTGTGCATGCCCACACGTGTTTTCACACACCTACTTACATGAACACACACATGAATGCATACACGCGTGCATACACACACACACAAAGGGACCCTGATGTTCTCCATTCCATTACCTTCTGGGGATGCTGAGGCAGGACTGCCAAACACCCCCAGACAACAGTCAGGCCACCTTCACCTCACCTATTGCATGGGGGAGGCTGAGAGACAGGAGGTGGTGCCGCCCAGGACTCTTCCTCTGAGGCCTGGAACCTGAGGATTTCCATGTACTTGGATTCCAAGCCCTGAATCACCAACAGGGACAGGGAACACACTCAGGGGTCATGAGAAACTCCTCCCTCAAGGGGCCCCACTACACTCCTCATGACTTTCCTTCAACCTGACACAGCCTGTCACCAGAATATACAGCTTCCACTCCCTGATCCTTCCCCTTCCCGCAGCACCCTGGACCCTCTGACTCCAAACTTCAGGAGCTCCTCAATCAGACTTAGATTTGCCCCTGAGAACAATAAAAGCCGCACGGGGTGCATCCTAAGCTGCCAGAAGGCATGAGCAAGACAAGGACACCACCCACTAACAGAGAGACGGACCTCCAACTGTCCTCCCTAAATGACAATGTGTGGTGTCTGCCCCCATCTTGCAAGATGCTACTTTGGGTTTTCCAAAGACTCTCAGACCTGACATGCCCATCTCTTCTCTGCTGCCGTGGGGAGTGGGGAGATAGTTAACCCCCTTTTCACCACTCAAGTACCCGTTTCTAGTTATGCCCATTGAAGACAGATGGGGACCTTGGACGAGGCCAGGTCCTCCAGATCCCCTAGCTGTCCTGAGCTGGGAGAAAGAGCTAATGTAAGATTTGAATCTTTTAATATTCTAATGCATCCATCCATCCATAAAAAGTGCTCAAGGATGGAGGGTCAGTAGGGACCAGCTGGTCTACGTCCCTTAAAGATCTGGCATGGTAGCTCTATGGCAAATACACTCCTCAGCTACTTTGTTTTGTAATTAGGTCCCTATTCACTGCCTGCTGGACCCTTCTCCCTTGCCCAGACCTTCCACAGGTCCTGCAGAACTCACATCCTGGAAGGTATGCATGGTGACAATGATCTCATTGGTTACTGCCGAGCAGTCTTCATTCTCATTGGCTACAAAAAGAAGCAAGATGGGTAAGAGCAGAAAGTGGGGCTGTAGAACAGGGTGGCTGGGAGGGACAAGCAGGAAGTGAGAAGGGCTCCTGGCGTACCTGCCTTTCTCCGGAAGCAGAAAGAACGGAAGGGACACTTTCCATGCCAGATATGAAGGTGGGGAACCAGCTGGCTACTGCTGTCATCCACGTTTTCCCAACCTGGGGAGAGGACAGAAGCAACGGCCTTTGAGGACAAGGCGTTCCACAAGTCTTTAAGGAGGTTGTGGAGGGGCATCAGGATGGCAAGGGGCAGAAGGGTCTCAAGTCAATGGAAATCCAAGAGCTTGAGTGGGTACCTCAAACTGGCCTTGTTCCTATGCCTGTGTCTCTATACTATACACACACACACATGCACACGCATGCACTCACACACACACACACACACACACGCGCGCGGCCCTTTAGTCTTCCTTCATCCTCCCGTTCTCTACCCCACCTCTTAAAGCAGTTGTATGCCCCAGAGATGCTCCTGTCCAGAACTATACAGAGGATTCCAGCAGGCAGGGAAACTCAGAACATAATTCCCAATCCGAAGTTCCTCTCGCTTCCAGCCTCCCGCCTCGCATCCTTCTAGTCCAGGATGGCTGGCGAAGACCGAGTGGGAGACAGGAATGTGAACAAAGCCAGGGCAGCCTCTCGGGACTGCGGGAACCAAATCCAGGAAATCATTTCCTGGAAGACTAGAAGGGAGCCCCAAACAGCCCTCCCACGGAGCTTTCCGCCCCCACCCCTCGGGCCCTCTCACCCTCAGAGATGTACTTGAGCTTCAGACACTGGTCTGCTCTGGCCCCAGTGAAGTCGAAGAGCTGGCAGGGTCCACGCATGCGTCCACCGTGGGGCTGCTCATTGGTGATAGCCCACTGCAGGGCGCAGGGAGTATTGTTCAGGAAGTAGACACGCAACTGCAGGTGGGTCTGCCCGGGCGCCAGTGGGGAGCAGAACACTGCCAGCTGCAGCCATTTGCGGGCTGTCTGACCCAGGGGCGCCTCCAGAACGCAGGTGTAGAGGCTGCGGAGGGAGATGGTGGCAGACGCCCATGCATAAGCACCAGGAAGGCCGGGATCCCAAGATGCCTACCACCATGCTCCTGACACCTAAGGGATCTCTGAGCAGGTGAGGAGAGCACTCCAAGTAGGTGTAGAAGGAGGACCAGGTGAGAGACGGAGTGGCTTAAAGAGTCGAGAAGGGAGTGGGCCATGGTGGCTGTGATGGTGAGACTAGTCAACTTGACAAGGTCTAGAAGCACTGCGGACACGTCAGTGAGGGAATTTCTCACCTGAATTATTGATGGGGGAAGACCCACCCTGACAGACAGGATGGGGTTCTTGCACTGAGTGAAAACCAAATGACTCAGCAACAGCCACCCCTTTCTCTAACGCTTGGCTGAAGAAGCAGCATGACCAGACATCCAAGCCCCTGCCTCCATGGTTGACCTGTACCCTTGGAATGTGGGCCCAAGTAGCCTTTCTGAGTTTGCTTTGGTCACGTGTTTGTCACAGCAGCGAGAGGTGACTGCCACCTCCTGGGGAGGCAAGCCAGTGTGTATTATCTGCAGCAGAGACAAATTAATCACAGGGAGCCACAATCTGAAGGGGGTTCTGCACATGGTCCTCTGGGGATGGAGGGTGCCAAGGAAACTGGGCAGCAGAGAACCTCAGACTCAAGAGATGGAGATCAGGCATGATGTGTGCTTGAAAGGAGCAGCCTGCCCTTCCGTTTGGGGGTGGTCCTGAAGTGGGTCAGGGGCAGAGAGAGGCAGCTATGAAGGACAGGTGCGGAGATGGGACAAACTCACTACAGGTGTATCCAGTCCAACTTTTTTTTTTTTTTTTGGTTTTTCGAGACAGGGTTTCTCTGTAGCTTTGGCGCCTGTCCCGGAACTAGCTCTTATAGACCAGGCTGGCTGTGTCCAACCTTTTGACACTGAGGCACAATGATGTCATCCACAGTCACACTCAAGAACCATACAATTAAATTTCAAAAAAAAAAATCTTGGTGTTTTAGGCAAGCCTACAATTCTATGTTGGAACTTGTTCACAGCCATTTGGGCCGTATGGACTGTGGGTTGGATGTGCCTACTAGACAAAGGGATGGGTTGAATCAGGTGCCTCCAGATAGGCAGAGAGAGAGAGAGCAGTGGGACACAGTCTCAGATGCGGTTTCCATGACAGAAATGACTGCCGTGGACATTAGAACAGCAGACGCAGAGAGAGGGCCACAAAGGTCCTAACAGACTGCTGAAGCATCTAGAGCAGGGGACAGGCCAACAGACAAGACCTACCTGAAGTGAGAAAGCAGGATACGGCACTCATCCCGGGAGGTATAAGCCCCCGGCTGACCCAGACGCCTCCAGTTCTTGGCATCCAGCAAGGGAGTATTGCTGGTGTAGGCACAGGCCTGACTGGGCTCCTGGGCACAGTGCTTGAATGTGAGGGTGCAAGGCTTCAAGAAGGAGGCTCCATGAGGGCCACATGCCACCACAGGACTCACTAGCCCCTGTCTGTGAGACAATGATGGGGCATCCGTCAGGTCCCATACCAGAACCAAGGACACCCTCTCCTGGCGACCCACTGCCACAGCACCTGGAGGGACAAAGGGCTGAGGTGAGTCCAACAGCCTAGGCCAGGCAGAGAGGGCAGGGCACCCAGCAGAACACGGAGAGGCTGTGTGAATGAGGAAGTCCACCGTGAGCTGACTTAGAGTCACCATTTCCTTCCACGGCCACAGCCACTCGGATGGGCACATGTGTGACTTTCCAAACCACGCACAGCCTTCCTTTGTTTGGGGACTTGTCGCCGCAGGCTGTCTTTAGAGCAAGGCATTTTATTTCCACCTGCGGGGAAGCTGTCCCGAAAGATATGTGGAGACTCATCTTTGGAGAATCTATCTTTGGAATCAAAAAGGCTAAACTATAAATACAGTTTTCCAAATCCAAAGTTATCTGTGGGTGGAGCTCAGATGGGGTACCCTACCTTGCTGCCTGAAGAACTCTGCCAAGAAAGATGCTGGGAGTCGTTACCTGGCGGGACGAGCAGAGAAATGCCTGTGTCCTGCAGCATCAGACATCCACCACGGTGGTCCACCTCTCGAGCAGAATACACCAGTAACTTATTCATCAGCTTCTGGGTGATGGTCTGGCCCCGGGTGGGCGTGTGGAGCTCCTGATAGAATGCAGCCATCTCCGGTAGTGTTGGGGGTGGGCACTGCCTTGGGGGCTCATATTCTGGTAATGAAGTGGGTGGGAACACAGTCTCCTCTCGGTCATCTGGATTCCTGCAGTCTTTTGGCAACCACCGAGAACAGTGCCAACGAAGGCACTGAAGCAGAAGGAAAGCGCTGGCCACAGGTATCCCCACCAACAGAAGGAACTCGAAAGGGTACACATAACTGTCCTGGGGGCTCATCTGCCTGGTCATGCCTACACCCCTGCACCAGCCAAGGCCAAGGGCCTGCGGGGAAAGTGAGTAGAGTCAGTAGAGCTGTACTAAGTCTTTAATTTGTGGAGGTGAATGCTTCACTCCCCTACAGGAATACTCTCCCCATTTTTTCCCTCTCCCCCATGTAGATTCACACACACACACATACATTCAGCAGCCTTCCTGAGCTAGGCATGGTGGTACAGATCTATAATTCCAGCCCTTGTGAGGCAGTAAGATGTGAAGTTCAATGCCTGATGGAGAAGGGGCATCTCTCTATCTGTTGTTTCATTGGTTAATTAATAAAGAAAGCTGCTTGGCCTGATAGGTCAGAACATAGGTAGGTGGGGAAGACAGAACAAAATCTGGGAGAAAGAAAGCTGAGTCAAGCAGTCGCTATAGCTCTCCTCTCCAAGATGGACGCAGGTTAAGATCCTTCCCGGTAAGACACCACCTCGTGGTACTACACAGATTATTAGAAATGGGTTAATCAAGATGTGAGAATTAGCCAGTAATAGGATAGAGATAATGGGCCAAGCAGTGTTTAAAAGAATACAATTTGTGTGCTGTTATTTCAGGGCATAAGCTAGCCAGGCGGTTGGGTGGCGGGACACAGCCCGCAGCTCCTTCTACAAAGGCCAGCCTGAGTTACAAACTATCTCCCAAAGAAAGAGCTTCCCACAGTTCTCCACAACCTAGGCCAGCAAAGTAAATCCTGGGCATAGAGAACATATATTCTGAGTTAGAGAACATGAGTTCAAGGCCATATCAGTCACTGTACCTATTACAATTATCATATTCTCCTCACCCATCCAGATATCTACTTTTGAGCCAGTAGAGATACATGCCGATAATCCTAGCAATGGGAGGCTGCGGCAGGAATATCCTGCATTGGAAGCCAGCTTGGGTGACATATTATCTCATAATCTATCTTTATTTATGAGCACTCATTTTTAAGAAAAATCTGTAAGGGAAAAAAGTAACCTCCAATCTGATTGATATAAACATGTATAGGCTGAGGGCAGAGCGCTCTGCATGCACAAGGTTCTGGGTTTGAGCCGGAGTAACGTGGGAAGAGAGAGGGTGGGGAGAGGATAGAGAGAATGTAAACTATAGAGAGGTGTCTTCAATAGTGTACGTCATAAAAACACAAGCCAATTATGTAACTTGACATATTTTATTGGCTGGAAAGATAGATGGCTCAGTGGTTAAAAGCATCTACTACTCTTGCAGAGATCTGAGATTCAGACCCCAGCATCCATGCTGGGAGGCTCACAACTGCCTGTAACTCCTGCTCCATGGGATCCAGCACCCTCTTCTGACTTCTGCGGAAACTCACATACAGGCATACACTCACACAGACATGCTCATACATACACATGGGAATATCAAAATAAATATTTTAAAGTAATAATAATATTTGTATTTAATCCAACACATTCAAAATAGTATGTTGTCAGGCAATGGGTATGAACTCATTAGTGAACTTTCACACCCTACTCCCTGAGTACTTTACCCTTAGGGCAGCTGGGAGTTGCCATAGTTCACATTGTTCCATGACAACTCGTGTCTTAGCGAAAGTCTGGAAGAATATACTCCCAACCCGTTCTATTGATCACCACAGAAAATCACAACAGCTGGAGAATACAGAAATGAATTCTGGAAGTCTCCTTATGGTTTGGATTTTTCAGAGCAAGCATGTTCTTTGCACGAACTTTGAAATTGTGTATATACATGTCTGTGGAAGTCAGATGTCAGCCTTGGATATCATTCTTCAGGATGTGTGTGCATGTGTGTGTGTGTGTGTGCATGTACGTGTACATACGTGTGTGTAGGTATATGCCCACAGAAGCCAGAGACATCAGATTCCCCTGGAGCTAGAGTTAAAGGCAGTTGCAAGCTGCCTGACATGGTGCTAGGAACCAAACACCCATCTTCTGGAAGAGCAGCAAGTGTTCTTAACCACTGAGTCACCTCTCCAGCCCCCACCTTGTTTTTTGTTTGTTTGGTGGGTTGGTTGGTTGGTTGGTTGGTTTCACTTGGGCTGTTTTGTTTTGCTTTGCTTTGTTTCTTTCTTTGATTTTTTGGGACAGGGTCTCTCACTAGGACTGGGAGCTCACCGAAGAGGCTTGGATTGAAGGCCAGCAAGAACCCAGGCTCTGCCTCCCCAGCGCCAAGATTATTAATGCAAGCCACTATGTCTACATTTTTACTTGTGTACCAAGGATCCAACTCAGTTCTCATTTGCACACAGGAAGCACACTGACAATCAAGCCATCTCTCCAGTCCTTGGGGGCTTTAGGGGATTTGTTGAGTCCTATGGCTTTGCACTTTCTTAAAGAGGATGGCATGAGGTCATGTGGGCAGCACTATCCAAATGTGTTTATTTATGCCTCTCCACCTGCCATAAAAGTCAGAAGGTAGCTCCCGGGCATACATACAGTACAGCATGATCAGCAGAAGTTACAAGTGGAAACAAAAAAGAGAAAAGGATGAAGAAGAAAACTAAGTGGGGCCTTAAAGAGAGAATGAAATGAGTGAGGCCAAAAGAACCATGCTCACTGAGGGCCTGGCAGTGGGGGCCCCGGGAACTTAGAACTTTCTAGCAATCTCCAGCATACATGTCAGCTTTCCCTGGATCTGCTCCCACCCCTTTCTACTTCCTCCTTGAGCCCTGCTGACTCCTAACACCTACACACTCTGGTGGGACTGGGCTCCCATTCCCTGCACATTCTGGCTTTGGCTCCTCATCCCTGGGTATGCCCCAGCCCTTGATTGGTTCCCAACCTCCCTGCTGCCAGTCTAGCCTGAAAAGCTCCTCCTCATATGCTGTCCCATGAGCGTTTCTGATCAGCAGCTGCACATCGGGCACCACGGGAGGCTCCAAAGGGGCCAAAGATGTCTTGTTCAGCCCTGGAGGAGTTGCCGGGGGAAGGCCATTCCTCCATTTGGCAGCTGGATTCCTTGAGGCGTGATGTCCTCCTCCAAGGAGGCTTCTGTAACTCATGAGTCCTTCACTAACTGGAAAGGCTCCCAGCATCCCCTCCTCTTCGCTAGTCACCTGCAGCCAAAGACCTACAAAGACTTTACTCCCTTTCCAGCCCCTGACAGACAGGCAGACGCTCCTCTGCACCATCACCATTGGAGTTCTGGGAGGGGCCTGTTTCCCCTGCATCCTCACCAAAGATGTGCACAGGAGATGGGACATTGCTCACTTTATCTTGAAACACAACCTTGAGGCCAGAGCCTCAACCTTCTTTAGCCAGGCCTCCTGCAAGGCCACAGGTGAATCAGGCAGCGGCCAGAAGCTGAGCTGGGAAGGAAGCAAGCTCCCTAGTAAGCCTCCTCATTCCCTTTCACTATTAATAGCACCACAACTATTAAAAACTGATAGAAGTGGCTTGGCTTGTGTTATACGCTCATGTGTCTTCGCTTCATGGGTGATGTGGGAGTCTTCTGTTTTGTGCTACTTTCATTGGTTAACTAATAAAGAAAACTGCTTGGCCTGATAGGACAGAAAATTAGGTAGGCAGAGTAGACAGAACAGAATTCTGGGAGAAAGAAGCCAAGTCAGGCAGTCGCCATGATTCTCCTATCCGACACAGATGCAGGTTAAGATCTTTCCTGGTAAGCCACACCTTGTGGGGCTACACAGATATTAGAAATGGGTTAGATCAATATGTAAGAGCTAGCCAATAAGAGGTTATAACTAAAGGGCCAAGCAGTGTTTAAAAGAATACAGTTTCCGTGTAATTATTTTGGGGCATAAGCTAGCCATGCAGGCGGCTGGGTGCCGGGGATGCAGCCCCACACTCGTATTACAACACACAGGTAAGGAAGCTGAGCTATTTCTGCCTGCTGCAGGGATGGAGGGAGGAGCAGTGAGTAGGAACTGGAGATGCACAGGAGTGACTAGTTCGAGCTTGCCCCACCCCTCCTTTGCTCCCAGGTCTCTGCAGTCCCACTTCTAGAGACAATGGCATCGGATGGAGAAGGTGCAAACACAAAGAAAGATGGTTCTGCTCCTTGAGAACAGCACTTGGGAGACTGAGGCAGGAAGACTAAGTTTGAGAACATACAATGAGACTGTCTCAAAGAAAGGGACGGGGGGAGGGGTACGGGGAGGAGGGGGAAGAAAGGGGCTAGGGATGGCTCGGCAGCTAAGAACACTGGCTTTCAGAAGACCTGGGTTTGATTCCCAGCACCCCCGTGGGGGTTCACAACCATCTGTAACTCCAGTCCCAAGTGACTAAGACCCTCTTATGGCCGCTGTGGGCACCACATGATCATGGTGCACATCCTGCATGCAGGATACATGAAATAAAAATAAACAAGTGAGAACAAGGAGAGAAAATAGGAGGAGAAAAGGTGGACAGGAGGGGCTGAAAAGGAATAAAGGCATCTCTGGGTTCCCAGGGCAAGTGATGACATTTATGCCCTGCCCGCCTAGGCTCCAGCAGCCCAGATGGCTGAAAAAAGAGAATGGAATGAGAGGAACCTCTATGTTTCTATAACAACAGCTTTCTTGGGGCCCACTAAAGATCAGAGTCCAAATCCCCTCCTCCCCATTGGACCAGGTCCCCTTGCTCAGCTGCCCCACCTGGAAAGTTAGCATATAACACTCCCACAGCACCCTGGGCCTCAAGGGAGCCTGTCCCACAGCACCCTGAGCCTCAAGGGAGCCTGCTGATCTCTCTGGCCTGAAGCAGCTCAACTCCCCGCAGCTCAAGCCTGAGGCCAGCTGACCACTCTTCCAGACTCCCTCAGCCTTCACCCCATCCCCACCTCTCCACCTCCCCCCATCCCAACAAGGGAATGGAGCCAAAGTTGAAGGGACCAGCTTGCAGCCCTACCAATTCACCATGTTCTCTAACTTCCGACTCCTCAGAACCCAATTCTCCAGCCCAGAGCATTCTGGGTAACGTTTCCTAAAAACAAGGGGCATTAGAATATCTATCATCACCTGACCTATGAACGAAGACCCAGAATCTCACTGCAAAGATCTGTTCATAACCTGTAGATGCTCAACCCTCTCCTCCTCCCTGCACACACACACACACACACACACACACACACACACACACACACACACACTGGGGTACCCACCTTAATATCAGTTTGTTCCAAGAGGCCACTAGCGCACCCAGAAGCAATAATTCCTTCTCTAAGAAACAGAAAGACCAACCAGACCTGTCTCCAGGCCAGCAGACAAGTGGACTTTGGCGGGGAATGCAGGCAGGTGTGGCCTGCCACTTCCCGGCAGCCCAGTCACGCTATGGAGGGGTGGCGGAGAATGTTTTTGTCTATTGGCAAAGTCCAGGTGAGGCCTGGAGTCAGCATACTTCCCAGGGCCGGTCTGGAAGGGAGGAGGAAAGGAGGCAGCTTTGATGCAGGTCACGTGTCTAGAAGCCCCCTCCTCGCAGTGCCCTCTGCTGGTAAGCGACTGCCCCTACCAAAGGCTGCTGGTACGGGCAGGAGGAGGGAGGCCAGAGACTGACGCCCCAGGAATCACCTGGGAATCTTGTTCAAATGCAACCGCTGTTTCCACAGGATCTGGCGGGAGACCGCAGCTCAAAGCACCTTCCGGGTGAGCCAGTGCAGCCGATCCTCACACTGAGAGTCTCTTTTCTGCCCTCCCAGCATGGGAAGATCACACAGGTACACTCGCATATCTGCTCCCCACCCCGCAGAGTTGGTGGGACACTGCCCTTGGGCTGGACACTTGCCCTAGCTTTTGCTCAGAGTTGGTGAGACGCTTGCTCTTACCTTGAGCAGGAGTTAGTCCTGACACTCTCAAGGCTCTGAGCCCTGAAGAGCAAGCAGAGCCCTGGAGCCTTGAGCGTCTAGGATGAAAGAAAGCCCCTCGGGGCAGGGAGCTGCCCACCAGTTTGCTGCTGTCTGCCTCTTCAACGCACAGCCATCTTTCCATGGGCTCCTAAACTGACTTCACATCTTGGCTTTGGTAAACGGCACTGCTATAAACGTGGGAATACAGATATGAACGTCTGGAAAGAGCGGGAAGCAGGGGGTGGGGCCATGCTGGGCAATGGGCTGCAGTTTGATAAAGTAAGTTCTGGTGCTCCGTGAGACTGCAGTGCAGCAGGGTAGCTACAGGGGACCAAAGTGTGCCCTGAACTCCGAAATAGTTAGAAAACAGGATTTTGACTGTTGTCTCAACTTCAGGGATAAATGTTTGTGGAAATTAATATCTAGTTACTTTGATTTGATCATTACAAAATGTATCCATGTATCAAGACATCTTGCAGTATACCCAATAAATATGTAGTTACTGTGCATCAATCAAAAATAAAATTTTTAATAGTTTTCATTTTTATTTTAGCATATGTGTTTTATGTGTTTGCTTTTGTTCTATTTTGTTTAACTTATGAGTGTGTGTGTGTGTGTGTGTGTGTGTGTATGTGTCTGTGTGTACGCGCATACCTCCTGTACATGAGAGCCTTCAGAGACCAGAAGAGAGGATCATATCCCCTGAAGCTGGAGTTATAGACAGCTGTGAACCACTTGATGTGGGCACTGGGATCTGAGTTCAGGTCCTCTGAAAGAGCCAAAAGTTCTGCTAACCACTGAATAGTCTCTCCAGATCCTAAATACAATTTTAAAAAGAGAAAAAAAGAAAAAGGAAAGGAAAGGAAAGAATAGATAGATAGATGATAGATAGATAGATAGATAGATAGATGATAGATAGATAGATAGATGATAGATAGATAGATGATAGATAGATAGATAGATAGATGATAGATAGATAGATGATAGATAGATAGATAGATAGATAGATAGATAGATTGATTGATTACGGCAGGGAAAATGGCTCAGTCAGTACAGTGTTTGTGTTGCATGCTCAAGGACCGGTTAAGTTCAAAAGCCTAAATCCACATAAAAGACACTGGTAACTCTCTAGAATGGGGGAGAGACAGATGGAACAGTGGGCCAACTGGCCAGCCAATATAGTCAACTTGGTCAGTTCCAGGCCAGGGAGAAGGCCTGTCTCAAAAATAAATAAATAAATAATAAAATAGTGGACTCCAACTGAGAGAGCTGGCACTCAAGACTGTCCTCTGGCCTCCACGTGCTCGTAACATACCCCTCCTCCACATATACACAGGCGTGCACCTGCACACACGTGCATATACGCACACATAAAAGAACATCTAGAAATGGCTTCCTCTCCTAGTTAATTATTCTCTTGTCTCGCATCCCCTCCGCTTCCATCCCTGGGTGGAGATGGCAGGAAGGGTGGTGCCCCAGTGGGTGTCACCAGGGACCCATGGAGAGCAGCCAGCCCTATAAAGGAGACCCAGTGCCTAAAGGACATGCAAGGAAGGGTGCTCAGAACTCTGGCAGGGGACAAACAGGGAGGTAGCTGTCTTTGTTATACAAAGCTGTCTGAGTCATGCAGAAGACTGGGCCTCGCCAATAGGCAGGGACACTCTCCCCTGTCCCTATTCAGGGTGGCTGGGAGGAAGCACCAGGCCACTCCCACCCAGACTCCCCACCTCCCTCCACTGCCTGCTGCTTTCATCTCTGAGACACCAAGTGCTAGGAGTCGGGAAATATATGCCAAACCCTAGCCAGGCCAGGCGGAACAGGCCAGCCATGAGGCTGTGGTCGGGGACTGTGTTCACGGATCATGAACTCATTTCCAAAACTGGTGCTTGCCTCACACGAAGGCAATCTGGTTCCAGAGGAGCTTTAGGGACATCTGGGGGCCTCTGTCATCCCCAGGGACACAGAGCTGGGTCACAGGAGCAGAGACCATGGTAGGATTTTAGCAGAGACCCGTAGGATTGTAGCTACAGGCTGGGCTGTTAGAAAAGGTGAAGATTTCAATGTCAAACTCTGAACTAGTCCGTCAAGGGGGCCTCCTCCAAACGCCCAAGTATCAACAGGGCGCTGAGGGGCCAAAGGAGGGAAGAGGAGCAGCTCAGCGCTAGAGTGCTTGATAGCAGGCATGAAGCCCTGGGTGCATTTAATCCCTAATATCTCTCTCTCTCTCTCTTTCTCTTTCTCTCTCTCTCTCTCTCTCTCTCTCCCTCTCTCTCTCTCTCTCTCTCTCTCTTCTCTCTCTCTCTCTCTCTCTCTCTCTCTCTCTCTCTCTCTCTCTCACACACACACACACACAAGTCCTAACAGACCAGGGTGTGGGTGTGTGGACAGGAGCACTCATGCAAACAGCCACATAGACTCCCCAACAACGCCACCACCCTTTTCATCTGAGAAAGGGAGAAGAGCAGGAGCCCAGCTCCACCCTCTCCAGTCCCTCCCCCTCTTCTGTCTTGTGCACATCATATGTCATCAGGCATCCGGCCTGGGAAGTGTGTGCCTGAGGTAAGCGAGGAAGTCCTGGGAACCGAAGAGAGGATAGGCACGATCAATAAGAAGAAGCTTCAGCACCAGACGAGACAGGGAGGTGGGAAGTGGGCAGTGAGAGGCGGTGAGAACCCAGTAGAAAAATGCAAACGGGCTTGACGTTCAGCCCTGCCCCAAGAACTTCCAGAATTTGTCCCTGACCTGTGATTGGAAAGGGCGGGTCTGTCGGTCACTGTAGGACAGAAAACAATCAGACTTTTATTTCTGTCAAATTCCGTTGATCTTAAGACAGACGCTGTAATAGCAAGAGCAAGTAAGAAGATTGATACTGACCAGGACTTTAGTGGGAGGAGCCTAAACATTGGCCCACATGAAAATGGCATACAGAGAAAGCAAATGGGGATGGTATTTTTTATCAAAGACAATGCTGTTGTGTCCTTCAGAGTCAAACCACAAGAAATCTGGACACCTGTGCTTACAGACCAACATATGGGAATGGGGAGACGCAGATCACATCTCTGAAGGACCAGGAGCAGGTGAGAATACATGCTTCAGAGAAGGGAATCCACGGCGTCCGTTGGTAGTGCCTGATGCTGGGCAGTCCAGCCTGGGTGGGCCTCTTGAGTGTGCCAGTCTGGTCTAATGAGATAAGATAGGGCGGATGAGTGGGGCCACTGGGGGTTATAACTGGCGTAGCAAACCCTGGCTCCCACACTCAGAACGTGGCTGCCATGTGAGTTTTCCTGGAGGGTTGCAGTCAGACATCTATTCACCTCAGAAAACACACTGACAGAAAATCAAAGAAATGGTCCGGTTAAGTCCAGCCTTGTAAACCAACGAACAAGCCTCATACGCTTCCCCACTCCCTCCAGGATGCCCCTGCCAGCCTCGGTAAGGCACAGTCCTTGAGACTCTACAGGCTTGCTATCTGCCTGGCCAGGTGCTGCCTGTGTTGGGAGAGAAAGATCGAACCTGGTCCCAATTCACAGGAGTCAGGCGAGAGGAGGAAGCCTTTGCCTCTGCTGAACCGTGCTACCCACTGACTGCATGAATGGATAATGTGGGGAACAGAAGGCACAGATGCCAGAAAATGGCAGAGGAATGGTAGCTGCAGATGGTTCAGGGGTCATGACTAGAGCTGGGCTCAAGAGGGAGGACCTCCAATGAGGAACTCTGGCCTCAAATTTGAAGGCCTCGAAGAAGGGTGGAGGAACGCTCATCCCAGCATTCTCTCTGCCTGCCCAGACTTTGCCTCTCTACGGTGAATGCAGCTTCAAGGGCCTGTCTTTGTGGGTGTGCCCCTCCTGGGACCCATCCTGATTTGTATGTTCACTCCTAATGATTTGTCCGGTTGGTGTGAGGATGACAGGAAGCTGTCGTGGTGTCCACCCCACAAGGTCATATTGCCTGTGTGGGCAACCATCTACTCTGTCATGGGGTGAGTGTGTGGCCTTGGAGCCTGCAGGGGTTGAAGGTAATCAACCCCTTGCTCTGTACCTTGGCCTCCAGATGGATGGTACCCCATTGTTTTTCTTTGGGTAGGGGTCCCCGCACAAACAAAAATGCCCTACATTCCCCAGATTCCAGCAAGCCCTCTGCTTCCCCCCTCTCCAACCCTCCCAGCCTTCTCCCCAGGACATCTAACCCCTCCCACCCAATTCCTGCCCCTAGCTCTCCCTTGGCTCTCAAGATTTATTTTATTTTACATGTGTGAGTGTGTCTGTCTGTCTCTGTGTGAGTGTGTGTGTGTGTATGAATGTACGCTGTGCATGAACACCAGAAGAAGGCATCAGGCTTTTTCGAGCTGCAGATATGTGAAGTTACAAATCACCTGGCAAGGCTGCTGGGAACCAACTGTGTGTCCTCTGGAAGGGCAGGGAGTGCTCTTAACTGCAGAACCATCTCTCCAGCCCCTCCTTGGCCCTCAAATGATTCTTGCACCCACCTTTGCACATGCCAGACTCAGGGTACTTGTACTCCTTGGCAGCCAAGAGGCCTTATGCCAGAGGGTCTGGCTCCTACAGAACACCCTGTCTCTGCAGCTATGCCTCCTACCTGGTGTGGAAGGACCTGGGAGGGGGCTTCCGGTGGCCCCTAGCACTGCCCCTTGGCCTCTACACTTTCCAGCTCACCCTCAGCTGGACCTTCTTGGTGCTCTTCTTGACAGCCAACAACCCTGGGCTGGTAAGGCACATGATGCTCCATGCTGGGAGAAAAAGAACATGAAACCACAGGGCTCCACATCAGACAGTGGGACCAACAAGCGGCATGCATGCAATTCCTACAGTGTGCACAGTGCCCCAGGGATGGGATTTCTGGATCAGAGTATTGTAGAAAGGCAGAGGGTCCTGGTTCCTGACACAGCATGGCTACACCCTCCCATCATTTCTGCCCAGGCCCTCCTGGACCTGTTGCTCCTCTATGGGCTGGTGGCAAGCATGGTGCTCATCTGGCAGCCGATCAACAAGCTGGCTGCTCTGCTCCTACTGCCCTACCTGGCCTGGCTCACTGTGACTACCGCCATCACCTACCGCCTGTGGAGGGACAGCTTATGTCCAGCGTACCAGCCTTAGCCATCAAGAAGAGCAACTGAGGCGCCAGGGAACAGGAGAGCAGGGAGGTGGTAAGTGGGAGGAGTAGTTGTAGAGCTAGAGACACTTGGTGTGGCCGCTCTCCTTAGACTTTGGAGAAATAGAAAAGAGGAGGATGTTTTCTGATACATAATAAAATCCTGTGTTTGACTTTGAGAGTGTGATGTCAAGTGGACATGGATGCATAGCGTCCAGCATCCGGGGCTGCAGAGTGGGAGCCTAACCTGTAGGACTGACAAGTGGATGCAGGAACACACGCTGGGGAGGGTGACCACCATGTCTCCTCTCTCATGCCTCCCCAAGCCCAGACCAGGGGTTAGCATTTAACGCTTATCTCAGGAACAGAATCTCGGGCCAGCAAGATAACTCATCAGGTAAAGTCCTTCCCACTAAAACAGAATAAAATCTGATTTCTATCACTGGGGACCACACAGTGAACAGGAAAAAATGAATCCCAAAAGTTGTCCTTTGACCTCCACATAAGCACTGTGATATACACACATATATACACATGTGCATACATGCACACACCCACACCAAATAGATGAACAAATAAATAAAAAATGGAATCTTGCCTAGAGTGTTGGTGCACTTCTGTAACCCCAGGAGCATTCAGGAAATGAATTCAAGGCCATCCTTGGCTATACAGCATAAATTTAAAAAGAAAAAAAACATTATTAAAACAGTACATAAAAAGAAAATGAAGTCAAAAGGACTTCTGAGGAGGAAGCATGCCAATTCAGCAGGTAGGTGTCTGAGCCCATCCAACAGCTGAACTGGATCCCAAGCTCCACATGGTGGAAGGAGAGAATCAAATGCCACAGATTGTCCCCTGACTTCCACACGGGTGATGCTGCAGCGGTACATGTACAGTACAGTACACACACTGTTACAAAATATGTAGATGGAAAATGATGGAGAATGTAGCTCTTCCACCTATTATAAGTCATGCTAAGCCCTGGAGGATTACTCCGGTAAGCTAACAGCTGTTTTTTGTTTTCATAGACTCTTTCATTTACAGTTATTAATGTCTGCTCACTACTATTAGGAGAGATTTGAAAAGGGGCATGAGCCCAAGGTGCTGAGAGGTAAAAGGGAGATGAGGGCAGGGCGCCGAGAGCTGAAGGGGAGGTGCTGAGGAGTGAAGGGGAGGGGAGCACAGGGATGAGGGGTGAATGGGAGGGGAGCACAGGGCTGAGAGGTGAAGGGGAGGGGAGGGCAGGGATGAGAGGTGAAGGGGAGGGGAGCACAGGGCTGAGGAGTGAAGGGTAGGGGAACACAGGGCTGAGGGGTGAAGGGGGGGAACACAGGGCTGAGGGGTGAAGGGAAGGGGAGCACAGGGCTGAGGGGTGAAGGGGAGGGGAGCACAGGATGCTGAGGGGTGAAGGGAAGGGAAACACAGGGCTGAGGAGTGAAGGGGAGGGGAACACAGGGCTGAGGAGTGAAGGGGAGGGGAGCACAGGATGCTGAGGAGTGAAGGGGAGGGGAGCATAGGGTGAAGGGGGGAGCACAGGGCTGAGGGGTGAAGCGGAGGGGAGCACAGGGTGAAGGGGAGGTGAGGGCAGCAGGAGCTCCTTGACCAACGTTCACTCTTCCTTTCTAGACTACCTAAATGACTTTTCCATTTTTTTCTCCCCATTCCTACTTTTTTCTTCAATGCCTGAGATTTGCTCTTCCACTTCTGTTGGTGATGTTTGCACCTGTAGTTCCTGTTCACTTACCCAAATTTTCCATTTCCAGAATTTTCTTGGTTTATGTTTTCTTTGTTGCCTCTATTTCAATGTTTAAGTCTTGGACTGTTTCCATCACCTATTTAATTGCTTTTTCTTGGCTGTGTTAGATTTCTTTAAAAGATTTATTGTTTTCTCCCAAATTTTTTTTTTGCCTTTTTCTTGATTTCTTTAAGGGAATTTTTCATTTTCTCTTTAAGGACCTCTATCATCTTCATAAAGTTATTTTTAAGGTCGCTTTCATTTGCTTCATCCGCGTTGGAATATTCCAGTCTTGCTGTTGTAGGACCATTGGGTTCTGGCTGCCATATTGGCCTGCAGGTCTTGCTGTTATAGGAGCACTGGGTTCTGGAGGTGCCATATTGCCCTTTATGTATTCCTATCTAGGAATACATTCCTGTTCACCCATCTAGGGTTGGGATAGATATAGGTACAGGTGTTGATTCTTGTGATGTCTTTGTTAGATGGTCTTTTGTTCCTTTATTGCCTGTTTTCTTTATTGTCTTTTGGCCTGAATTGCCAAGGGTTCTGGTGACTGGTTGGTCCTAAAATCCAGTAGGTTTGTCTCAGCTGAGGTTTGTGGGGTTTGGGTGTCTAGATCCAGCATATCTTTCTGTTCTTCTGACTTGTGTGGGCTTTACTTGTGCCTATGGAGTCTTTTCTTCCTAGTGGTGTGGATTGTGACTGTGCAAATGGAGACTGTTCTTCCAGGTGTTGTAAGTAGTGATGGTGCCTATAGGGTCTGCTGTTCTCCCAGCTGGTGTAGGTGGCTATGGTACCTATAGCGGCTCTGTTCTCCCAGCTGGTGTAGGTGGCTGTGGTACCTATAGCGGCTCTGTTCTCCCAGCTGGAGTAGGTAGTGCTTGTCTAGGGGGCTGCTGCTGATGCAGTGGAGGGTTGGCCAAGGGGAGGATGATGGGGCTGGTGGGTTTGGGTGGCAGAGTGAGTCCTAGAGGTGACAGAGTCCAGTGGGTGTTGGGGGTATTGCTGCAGCCTGCCTGGAAGTTTCTTGCCTGTTGGCCAGCTGCTGGGCACCTTTATTTCTGCCTCTGTTTCAAAGTCCTCCTGGTAGAAGGCAGTAGCTGGGGCCGTGTCCTTGACCCCTGTACAAAGCTAGAGGGTCCAGATATCTTGCAACAAGGAGTTTACACCTGAGGTATGGGTGAAGGTGTGAGACTACTTTGTAGCACTCATGAAAAGCATGTCCCTGGGGCCCCAGTTCCAAGCCTGACTTTGTAACTTTGAGGGTGGGCTCCTGGCATCCTCACATTGACCGCTCGTCACCATTTCCACCCACTAAAGATCAAGGGTTCTAGACTTAGCTCACTTTTTGGAGGCTAACTCCTGAAGTCAGGGGTTATTTGAGCTCAATGTGCTTCCCACGGTGTGGCCTGCGACCTGCGGCCTGATGGCCACGAACTCTAGCCCAGCCAGGCCACCATGTAGAGTGAGGGCAGTAGGGCGCAGTGGTTAGCAGTCTGTCCCTGGAGGCAGCCTCTCGTGGCTTAGCTGTGAAATGTACTCCTGACTCATAGTGAAGGTGCTGATACACAAGCCCGGTCTCGGGGCTGAGGAGACGGCTCCTTCGGTAAACCGCATGCTGTGAAAGCATGAGGACCCACAGAAAAGCCAAGCATGTAACCTCTGTGTGCACCTCTGTAATCATGGTGCTGGAATGCAGAGGCAGGAGCATGGCTGAGGCTTGCAAGCCAGCCTAGCACAAGATTCAGAGAAAGACCCTAGCAAAGAAAAAAGAAAAGAAAGAAAGAAAAGAAAAGAAGCCACAGTAGAAGTTGGGTGGTGGAGCATGCCTGTGGTGCCAGCACTGGGAGGCAAAAGCAGGTGGATCGCTGTGAGTTCAAGGTCAAAGGTCAACATACTGAGCACCTGTCTCAAAAAAAAAGATTAATTAATTAAAATAATAAATTTGGACTGGAAAGTTAGCTCAGCAACACTTGCTGTTCTTGCAGAGGACGTGGGTTCAGTTCCCAGCACTCACGTGGCTGCTCACATCTGTAACTCCAGTTCCAAAGGATCTGACACCCTCTTCTGACCACCACTGAAAGTAGACACAAAAGCATTGCACATACGCACATGGAAGGCAAAAGACTCACACACATAAAACAAAATGCATAAGTCTTTTTAAAAACAAGCAAAGTGGGAGAGTGATCGAGGAAACACAAGCATCACCTTCTGGTCTCCACACACATATGAACACACAGCCCCAACAAACATGCAAACAAAACCCCCACAGCTCTTAGCTCAAAGGGAATAAGAGTTTATCCTGGAATCATATATGAGTGAGCATGACCCAGGAGCACAGATCCAGGTTCCCCCAATTCCATGTTCCTACATGGTAACAGTTTCATGAGGTTTTTACAGGAACAGAACAAAGTCATGATCCTTTGCAGAGACCTTGGTGAGGCCAGCAGGCCAGTGGTCAGAGCGTGGGAGTCTCTGCTGTAGGTCTCAGAGAATGTCCCAGGGTACTCTCAGCTTTGGACTTGAGGGAAGCTCTTAGCCCTTTAATACATTCCAGAAGGATTTACCTCTGAACCGCAGGATGTGGTCAGATGCAGTCGTCAAGGTGGCTAGCTCAGAATAGCTGGCCTCCGGATCTGCACCATCCCAACCTTCCACAGGCTGAAGTCCTAACCAGTCAATCCTCAACACAGGTGTGGCTTTTTTCCCCGGGGAAGGTAGTTCACACTGTCTTGGTCCTCGATGAGTCAGAAGTCAGATGGAATTCAGCCTCACCCATGGATTAATCTGTAGACTACAGGAGTGGGAACAACTAGTCAGAAGGAGTTGGTTTTCGCGAGCCCCCGCCGCCCGCCCCCCCCCCCCCTCCCGCCCATTACTTTCTGTTATGAGGCGAGCAGCCTTCACCACCACACACTGCTGCCATGATGTTCAGCTTCACCATGGGCCCGTGGTAATGGAGCCGGCCAGCCACACACCGGAGCCTCCAAAGCAGAGAGCCAAAAGCAGCCTGCCCCCCTTTGAAGTTGACTTCACAGGTGTTTCCTCGGGTGATGGAAGCTAATTAATACACGGAATCCAACTCGATCGTTCATTAACTTGGCCAGCATGACTTCGCAGCAGCCGGCCTTCACACTCTCATCTGTAAAACTGGGACCTCGCAGCTTTGTGGAGAAGAGCGAATGGAATGATGGGGGAAAGAGGGTGAGGCGTAGAGAGAGGATTCAATCCATGTGAGCCGCTCTAGCACAGAACTCGGGAAGCAGCCGGAATTTTGAGCCAGGCTGCTCTGAGGTCCCGGC